TATTATTTAAAAAAACACTAATATTGTTATTAATTACTAATTTAGAATATTCTGTGTATGTAAACATATATATATATAATTGTAGAGCCGGAAGAGGAAATTATCGAAAAGAATATTCTTTGCTCGATTATTTTGTGTTTTATAGATGTCTGAATGAATATTTTTGCTATATTTTTACTCATTGAACACTACTTATAAATAGATACAAGTAGTAAATAAACTAACGTCTCCGTAGAAGCAAAAGTAATTTATGTCACTGAAAAAAAAACTACTGAAGAAGAATCAATTAAAAGAGTTATAACTCCGAGAAGAACCTAAAAAATGATAGTAAATAACGAGAAAGGTATGTTTTGTGCAGAATAGGCGATATAATGTGTTAGTTATGAGATCAGCATAAGTAGTTTCCGATTTCCTTCGCGTCAGTTGCATTCTGTCATAATCAACATTAGATCTGCTCTCATCGATCTTGTTCTCAAATGGAAATCTGCTGCACTGAGATCGAGAAACAAGATCTAGATTTACAATACTAATATCACATCAATGCTACTACATAGTTCTGAGATTTGGCACGTCACGAAATGCATCTCCAACTGGCTGCTAAAGATTTATACCAGTACCTGAATTCGCTCCATTCTGAGGATAAGATGGTCGGCTGGATAGGATAAGCAAAAAGGAACTCTGGTAATGAACAAATATTCCGAAGGATTTGGAGATGAACTGGACATACACTGAGGACAGTGTTTGTGAAACAATGACATCACGCATCAGGTCATTGAGTGGAGCTAGAACGGGAAACGACGAGTTGGGAGAGACTGTGAGGGTGACGTGGAGGAGATCGCGTGTGTGGGAGCGAGGATAAAAACTTACGGGTAGTCTTTGAGTCAGTCTAAAAGGACTCCAGAGAACAGAGTGAAATACTGACGTACTGCTGAAGTTCTATGTCCCATCAAGAACTCAAAGGAACAATTGCAAGAACAGTATCTAAGTCTTATCAGGTTAACCTTTACTCTCCAAAAGTGATTACCGAAACAGATTCACCTTATTTTTATTACCATTCATTCTTTCTGTTCCGAGTGGAACATACAACTTTGGCGGGACATCTCCATTACATTACATCCTCTGTCGGCAATTTCAGTTGGCTCCATTTCTTGATGACATGAACTTCTATATTCCACCCTTGAGCGCCAAACATACTGCTGCCTATTGGGGTCCCACTCAAGTGCCTCGAATGTAAGTTCTTCTAAGATTAAAGGGACGAAATACTCCGATTACTTTTATAAATCGATATAAAAATAAATCTGAATAACGATTTAAAGATTACTTGTAAATTGCATAATTCATTACAAAATTCCTTATAATTAGCGAAACTTATATTAGCACTTTTTACATGAAATAAAGACTGAAATCCATGTAATAAATAAAATGTGTGATAAGAGAATGAATATAGTGTTCTGAGAATTCTATAGATATATATCCCTCCAAAGATTTGAATAGTGCGAAAACAAACATCGGTTCTCATCAGCCACATGCAATCTAGTTGCATAAATCATTGGGTTACCCAAACTGTCAGTGAACATTTTGCATTATATTTTCTTTAATTCTTTTCGTTTTAACTATTCACAGTTATGTCCTTAAATCACAAAATGCACTCATGCATATTTTAAATTGGCTTTCAAACTACTGGTGCGTATATCTTGGAAAGAAAACAAAAAACACCATACGGAATTCGTTTATACTTCAGACTGAAGAGCATTCCGCCATATGATATACTATAGATTACTGTTCTACTTGACAAGAGAAGATGTGTACATTGCACTGAATAAAGAAGTGAAGAAGAGGGCTAGGTAAGACAAAAGACAACTCTACAACACACTGACCGGCAACTGAAGCAGAAGAGGTAGGCCACAGGTGGAAGAGACCTCAGAATATTATATCAAATAACGAGGACACTATTCAGGAAAATACAAACTCACTAGAAACGTATAAAAGTTGTTCAAGGGAATCTGTGAATCGGTGGCACATCGGTAAGGACTCTCCCCAACCATGCACATGGTCCGGGGTTCGATGCCCTGCCGACTCACACCTGATATCAATGGTCGGCCGGCGAAATTTGATCTACCGATATTACTTGCTGAAAATTCCATAATTCCACAAAAAGTACTGTTCGGAATCAATTTATAATCAAAAAAAGAGGAGAAACAAATAAAACAATTGGTTGATCTCTTCAAAGGACTCTTGAATCAACCATCAGCTGCAGTTTGCCCACAAATACTTCTAACACCAACAGCACGCACAGAACTGCCTGTCAGTGGAGACCAATCCTCCAACGAAGGCAGAAATCTTGAATGCGATCAAGCTACTGAAGTCCAGCCAGGAAGTCAGCAGGACCAGACGGAATTCCTCCACTCGAAGCACTCAAAACGGACTCAGAGACTGTAGTAGATACACTAACGCTATTATTGCAAAAGGGTTGGAAGGAAGGAAAGGTGCCTACTGATTGGAACAAAGGCTAGTTACCTTATCAAGTTACCAAAGAAGGGCGAGTGACGCTTGTACAAAAACTGTCGTGAAATAGTGATCCCCTCCACGGCGAGTAAATAAATAATTGGCATCACCCTGGAGAGAATAAGAGATTCACTGGATGCAGAATTATGGATTCAGGAAAGGCATCGTCATAACAGGACAAAGTATAGAATGGCAGTTAAATATACACCTTAACTTCATCGACTTCGAAAAGGCCTTTGACAGCCAACGTTGACCGAGAAGTAATTCTGAAACTACTTCAGCACCACGGTGTGGAGTACCCAAATCTTTATCGACCTCATTCAACAGCTGTATGAAAATGCCACACATCAGGTGGTCCACAATGGAAAATTCAGTGAAGCCTTTGAAAAGAATACAGGGGTAAGAAAAGGCTGCCTCTCAGTATCAATGATATTCCTAATTGTAGTGGACTGGATTATGCGTCAGATTATGCATGGGAATGAGAAGATAGGAATACTCTGGACCACTGATAAGAAGATTATAGAAGATCTGGATTTCGCTTGTGGATAACTTAATGTCACATAAACTCTAAGACCTACAGGCGAAAACTAAAAAACTGGCAGAAGAGGTAGGCAGCGAAGACAGGGCTTTGAGTGGACATAGAGAATACGGAGGTGATGAAAATAACCAACAAACGGCAGCAACAACAACAACCATTGTCAATCACCATCAACGGGATGGCTTTAACGGAGGTTGCCTCCTTCACTTATCTGGTCAGGAAGCACCGTTTCAGCTACAGGCTTAGAGGACAAAGACGCCACAGTCAGTCAGAATCGGAAAGGCAAGACACGCCTTCATCGATCTGGAATCAGTTTGGAAATCTTCGTCAGTCAACATAAGGAACAAGATACTCATTTTCAACACCAAAGTGAAGTCAATCAGTTCTTCTATACGGGTCAGAAACTTGCACTGCATGTCACGAGAAGGATTTGTGACAGGTTGCATACTTTCATCAACAGCTGCCTTCGCTGGCTGCATACTAAAGATCAAATAGCCAGAAAAAAAAAGTAACAAGAAACTGTGGAAACAAACCAACGGGCGAGAGCCGATCGCTCAATAAATATGTAGGAGAAAATGAGGAATCATCGGGCACACATTGAGGAAGCCATCAAATGACATTGCGCGCCTTGCAGGCCATCACTGGAGTGATATTTGAATGGGAAGCGACGAGTGGGTCATGGGTGTGTGGTGGACATGGAGGAGATCGTGTGAGGGAGAGATGAGAGAGTTTGGACAATCGTGGACCCAGCTGAAGAGGACGGCAGAAAACAGAAGAAAGTGGAGATGTGTTGCTGAAGTTTTATGTTCCACTCGGAACCCAAGAGAATCATATAATAATAATAGTAATGATGATTTTATAGTCGTAGAACTAAACGATTGTAAACGCATCTGAATGTTTATTTCTGAATGAGCTGACATAAAATAGTATAAAATTCATCCCTTACAAATTACTTATTTGGTGGTTAAATTTTCCCACAATTTCTTTTGCAAACCAGTCAGTACAGATCACCTTTCTCCATGACTAGGAAGTACTACTGATCTGTGTGTGAGCAGTTATCAACTAAACAACCTGTTCAAGTGTTGGTTTGTAGGGATTTGATTGGCTACAGGATTTCATCATGAGCTGACATCTGTTACAGAACCATCGGAAAACCAGCCAGGGAGTACTGGACAGCTATTTCGTCCTAGTTCGAGACTCTTCACCAATACGCACTCACCGGGGTTCGAACCCAGGACCTTCTGGTTACAAGGCTACCCGTAGGCCATTAAGCCACTGGGACCAGATTCAGTGGCCAACCCATGAATCGTAACTTCTGCCAATTCACGATATAGCGCGACCCCTGGCCAATGTCATCAGTGGTGAGTATTTTTCCTCACACCCGACCTGCTGCACCCTACTGGTCACGACTTCCCACTAGAATCCCAGGTAACTACCAACCTGAATAGGGCCAGTCGCTAGTGAGCATCTCATTGATATTCAAGTGTTGGTTTGTCGGATCTGATCGGTTAACAGGATTTCATCATGAGCTTGTAACCGGAAGGTCCGGGGTTCGAATCCCAGTGGGTGCATACTACCGAAGGGTCCCAAACTAGGCTGACGAAACAGCTCTCCAGTACTCCCAGGTTTTCCAATGGTTCTCTAACTGACGTCAGCTAATGATGAAATCCTGTACACAATATGTCTTCTCAAGTCTTATGAAGAATTAAAAAAACGCTATACACACCTCTTTACTTGGCAAGTGCTAGCTAACTTCCACCCTCCCGTGTAATCTAAATTAATCCTAATCTCTTAATTTTTGTATGATTAGTGTTACGCAGATGTACAAAAATCATCTCTCTTATGATTGGACCAATGAAAAATAAGATTTAATCCTATTGTACCGCTTGTCATTAATTTATTCTGCGAATATAATAACCAATCAAAATTAAAGGGAAAAATTTATGAAGCGCAAATTATTTACTCAATTAATAAACAGCATTAATTACATTTATTATTTAGTTGAAATTTAATAATGATCATGAGTACTACTCACATAAAACATGAAAATCCTTCAACTGATGATCAACATTTTGATCTTAAAAATAAACAAATTAATGGATTTACTATCGATGCTATCTTAGGAAATCGCACTATTAGACAGAATAAAATATCTTTAAGTGAAATGGAAATAACTTCAATAGATAATAAATGTTTTAAACAAATTAATACGTGTTACAATAATTCAACATTTAACACAGGTATGATAATTTACTATTACTACTTTTATTAATTATATTCATATTGGTGTAAATTTTATGTTTCTGTGAACACTTCACTCACAGAGGTTATCTATTAATATGATTTTATCAAATATATTTACTTGGATTCCACCCCAGAGGTTGGATGGTAATCTGGAGCCACTAAGCTCGATCCTTGGTGGGAATATGACTGAGTACTGATGAAGAGTCCCCAACTAGGACGAAAGGTCTTCACAGTACTTCTTGATTTTCGGTAGTTTCCTGGTTGATGTCATTTCATGATTAAACTTGAAATAATTAGAGTCTTTGCAAGCCAGCATTTCAAAAAGTTATCGATGTAGCGAAATGGAGATCTCTGTTGCAGCAGGATTCAATATATGTGTAAAACTTGGGCACTGTGGTAGCAAGTAATTCCATATTAGTTTGTTTATTAGATGTATCACACAGTGAAACAGTATTATTTACTGGATGACGTTTCGAACAAAATTTATTGTTCATAATCATATCAATTATAGTCACACGACTTCGAAACTTGAGCTTCGAAGTTCGAAGTCGTGTGACTATAATTGATATGATTATGAACAATAAATTTTGTTCGAAACGTCATCCAGTAAGCAGGATTCAAGCCAGCAACACAAATTTTCGTTTCATCATCAACTGTTACCAGCTACTTTTGTTATTATTAATTGTTTTTAATGCGTTTTTGTTCTTTGATCTGGGTCATTTAATTGCGAAGATTTCATTGTCCTTCTCGACAACTTCTTTAACACAATATAAAGTGAAATTATTTGAATTCTCCATATATGTTATAATTGTATGTCTTGACAACCTTTGTCATGATTTGTTGTTAATTTGTATCAGTAGTGGTCGTTTTTCTTGACTAAAAATTTAACTTATTTTTGTCATGTAACTTATTCTTTATTGGATGATAAATCTGATTTTTTAGTCATATATCGCTGTTAATTGCTGATCCATCTGAGTACGCAGCTTCAAGGACTCCCCTAGCATTTTTAATGTTTCTACTGTTTGAAATTTCCATATTTTCGCAGTCAAATTGATATCTGTAGTTGTCTGTATGCATCTACGCGGAACCACACATGTCATATCTTCTAATGGCTAGTCTATTTTATTAGATTCGAAGTCGAAGTGGACGCCCACTTTGACCAATATACTGCTTATCACAATTCATGCAATTTGTTTTGTAGATAATGCCGATCTTGTCTTATTTTTCTGTTGGATTCTTTCGTCTACATGGCGCTCAATTAAACTGTTGTGTTAGTTTGTGTGCTGCATCTATTCAAAACGATTTTATTATTCTATTGGTTATTTCAGAAACATTTTTTAAATATCTAAACAAGATTTTCTTAACATGCTAGGATTAATTTAAATAATTTATAATGAGAAGACAGTTGCAGCGAAGAAAATTTTCTTTTCGACGAAGTCATCATCTTTATAATGAATCAATCTGACTCGGCGCTCAAATTACTCCAGGAAGTTCGTAACACCTACGGTCTGGAAACCTATAATTTTTTAAATATCTACTAGGGATAAATTTTCTAGTGAATTCTGAAGATGGTTTCTTGCTGGTAGTTTGATTTGAGTCTAGACACCTCTTGATAATGTGTTTCTCGCTCGATTTGACATCCTCGTCCGTTCCGACTGTCTGTAGTTGAGACAATGCTCCCTAGATAAGTGAGTGAATGAAGTAACCTCTTTCAAATCCCTCCTGTTGATGGTGACTGGCACTGGATTTTGCTGCTGTTGTTGGTTGGTTATTTTCATAACCTCCGTCTTGTCTATGTTCACTTGGAGTCCTGTCTTCTCCGGCTGCTTGTTCGACCAGTTTGTGGGTTTTCGCTTGTAAGTCTTCGATTTTGTGTGACATCAAACAAAAATCATCCACTCACGAAATCCAGGTCTTCTAGGTTCTTCATTTGAGTAGTTATAAAAAGGATTAGTATTGTTTTGAGAATGGCAATTAGTCTACATAATCAACTGATAAATATTCATTTTACAGTTCATGGTTTGTTAACAAAATTTTTTTAAAATATCATTTTCAGAAATAATCAGTAACAGACAGTAAGCTATTGTGAATTTGTTTATCAGGCAAATTATTTGAAAATTTAAAAATCTCTGATGAAATTTCTCATTTGATTTATTCATAAACCAGAAATATTCATTAGCTAAAATATCATGAATGTTGTCAACAGTGGGAAGCATGAGAGCTGCGTGATGCATACTACTGTTATTTATAAGTAATGTATAGATAAATACTAATCTAGTTCAAAGTGCTCGTATCAACTAATAGTCATTTGTTCCTCCTTTAACTAGCATCATACCATAAGTAGGAATGACTTGAAGGTTTACCTAAATAGGTTGTGGTAATAAATAGATAGTATTAGTTGAAAAATTCAAAATATCTGCTTTCAGTGAATTAGTTCCGTAGGAATTTGGCTGACTTAAAATTAAATGACAAAATGACATTAATTTGAGAAATAGTGGAAGTCAGGGAATACTGGATAGTTGTTTTATCTCAGTTTGAGACTTTTCGATAGTAGGGACTTAGGAGTGTGTGTGTGTGTGTGTGTGTGTGAGTGTACTGGCCATTCAACCACTGAAACAGAATTCAAAAACACACAGATTCTGATGATTTCTGCCAATTCACAATATGCAGCGACGCTGATAACTAATGTCATAGGAGATATATATTTGTCCTGACATCCGACTTCGTGGATCCCTATTGGTCACCTCCACTCACTAGGACTCTTGAAGACTTCATCCTAGTGAGCAGTAGACTAGTTCCGTTGCAGTAGCTGAATGACTAACAAGTTGAAGGTTCCGGGTTTGATCCCCAGTAGGTTTATGGGTGCGTTCTGTTGAAAAGTCCAAAACCAGGACGAAACATCTGTCCATTATAAATTCTTCTTAAGATTCTAAAATTTGTTATTTCTCCCAAATATTCTCAATCTTTCAAAATGTATTTATACTTAAATTTCAGGTAACAGAATGATATATCAACCAAAGACGTCGATAGTATCTCAATACCCATTTGATAAACAATGGAATAATTATGAAATATCAGCAAATAATACTACAATTACTACTAACACTACTTCTATTAGTAATAATAATAATAATAGCGCACAGGATGATCATTTCGACGAATCTAATCATCACCATCAACATATTAGAGAAAACCAAGAAATTTCAAAACATTATAAAAATCGTAGTCCACGTATCCCATTTACCCGGGATCAGTTATATGGATTAGAGACAAAATTTCAAAAATCTAAATATTTAAGTGGTTGGGAGGTGAAACAATTGGCAAAAAATTTAAATCTTACAGAAACACGAGTAAGTTTTTTTATTTATTTTTTTTGTTGTTGTAAATATTTAATAACATTAACTAATAATAAAGATAAATGTTTTGATTTTTCGGCCTGTTACAAATTGTAACAACAGAAGATGAGGACCAGGCAACAGATCGTTTATTAAGGAAATCAACACATATTTATAGATTTTCATGTACATTATTATAGATTATTGTTAGCAGAAAAACACAGTCCTCTGATTGGTTGTTTCTCACAGAAAGTCAACCTTGCATCTCTTTGTGGCTGTTTCTTGAATGTCAGATCATCTATATGTTAACTGTATCCGCCTACGCAAAGCCTTTGTTCTCATTTTTCTGACGACCAATATTGGGGACATAAACCTTGACATAAATTACTGTCTACCAATTTTGGCTAACACCCAGCTCTCACCACACTATAACCGTTACATATTCACTGGAAACATTCAATAATTTACTAAGAATTTATTCTTCAAAGAAATTAAAAGCATACTTAGGTTCATTCTTTATGTTCGGTCCTAGTAGAACTTAAGGCTTTAGGCTTTCAGGTTATAGCAGAGGTGTTTTTACGCGTTGAAATGGCTCACCTCAAGGTCTACCTTTCCTTTTTTTCGGCTAGTAAACATGGTTGGGTTCAGGAATGCAGAGGCCGAAAACTGAAGCCAATTATACATCGGCTTGATTCTAGGCACAAAAAAGCGATTTGGTATGCTGCACATTTCGTTATTTAGAGAGCGGTTTTATCAAGGGATAAGGAATTCCTACAGATTTTAACTAGAATATTGGTTTTTATTCTGACATAGTCTAAGAACAGCAGTAAACCAGACTTCTATTCGACTTATATATATATATATATATATATATAAGTTGTTTGGTGTCACATTTTTATTATCATTAAGTAAAGTTTAAAAAATCGCACTATATGAATGGTGTCGTCGACTCAATGATCTCAGCATATGTTCAACTCATTTCCATTTACTTATGTAGATTTGTTGACTGGCTGGCTACTGAATGGAGGTTTTTGGAAACACTTTGTATGACGCATGCGTCAGCTCTCTGAATCATATAGAAGCATTGACTTTTACATTGGTATTAAAAATTTCGATCTTTTTTTCATATGGTTAGTAGGTGTGTGGATCTTTACAACGATTTCAGGAAAATGAAAGTCTAACTGTTCCACTCCTGGTTTTGCTTTGACATCCTTGTCTGTATCTTTGCTTGTGGTTAAAGCGATGCTTTTTTAGGTCAAGTCAGTGAAAGAGACACTTTCCTTTAGACTAGTCTCATTCATGGTATTTGGTGTTCATTATTATTATTGGTTGGATATACTCATTGTGACATGAGCTACTGATAAGATTTATCAGTAATATATAAATATATGTAAATATATATGTAAAGAGATGTTCATCGGTAGAAAAAACATCATATAACAGGGAGATAGATTTAATGTCAGTGAAAGCAAATGATACAGAGTTGCGGAGATACATGAGAGACGTGAAATGAACCCAAAGAAAAACAATATGAAGGACAGACGTAGCACAACATAGAATATCTGTGCAAATGGTTATTTGAAGATAAGGTGTACATAATTTCGTTATATAGAGATACCTAATTTCAGACAGACATTCATTTTACAAGCCCCTTATCTTCTACCATAACATCATCACCTAGGTCTCATTTATGTATACCTGGTATCCTGTCTTCGATGTTACCTCTTGCATTTGCATTTGGTAACCGATAATGCGAATTCCACTTTTTTATACTCTTGGCTGTATTTTAGCAATAAATGAAAATTTTGAAATATAATAATATTTGGTTAAATTTCAAGTAAATTGGGGGATGGTAGTTAAAAGTAGAATCAAGAAGATGCACATTTCGTCCTATTTGAGTTGCACTGTTAGTCATCATCCACTAATTTACTTCAAGTGAAATAATCCGATATCGTCAAAGCATTTGGATAAATAGCGGCGACGTGTTAACTTGAGGCAAAGCACTTCAGGCCAGTCAATCAATAGGAATGTCCGAATTGAATTAAATCATGTTAAATCTCTGTGTAAATCATAAACAAATTTAGAATGTATGGAATGATTAAGCATATTTAAGAAAATGATAATTGCGAATAATGGTAAAAAAAGAAAAGGAATGAAGTACTGTAATGTAAGATAACGAATATTATAAGTTAATAAAATGAAATGTAATAATAAAGGTGAGGTAAAGCTTTGTGAGTCACTTGTTAATCATTGATTAACTGAAGAGATCATACAAGATGATTTTATGCATAAAATTAAGGCCTTCTATTTTGTATCGTTAAGACTCCCACTGTCTGTCTGTCTGTCTGGATTCAACATAGAACTTGCCACCGAAGTGCAGCAGTTCCAGTTGCCACCTTCCAAATAGCACACATAGGTAGACAAGAAGATGAGTGAAGAGAACAAATACAGTCTGACAAGTATAAGAGTGAAACAGAATAGGTAATGGTAGAAAGGAATATGAAAGATTACAGAGACTTAATACATCTGCGCCATTGACAACGACTTTGAGCCATGTCACCTATTGTCTCCAGCCATTGATTCTTAGAGTCAGTCCCGAGGGCCCCAATCCGGAAGTCTGTATCTCCCTACCTGACTCAGTTTAACTGTCAAGGATTTCATGGATTGATGAGGCCATGTTTTTGTTTGGCCACCACTGGCTCTTTTCCAACCTTCACCTATATCAGCTAGTAATGACCGTCGGGGGAGGCGGTGGTTAGGCATGCGCAGCACGTGACCTAGCCATCTTAGTCTATGTAACTTTATAGCCTCGTCGATTGATTTTCCCTCTTTGCCTGCCCAACACTCTACGCCTAACGTCAACATTACTTACCTTGTGAAACCACCTAACGTGAGACAGAGATCGCAGACATCTATGATCGAAAGCAGTCAACCTTTTCGTGTCTTCAACGCGTAAGACTCCCACTAAATAAAGTAAATGTGGCCTGTTACCTCTTGTGGGACCCAAGTGGTCTAGAAGGTAACACTTTGCTGTGGTAGAATGCTCTTGAACCAAGCAGGTAGTTTGGGGTTCGACGCAGGCCTACACCTCACTAAGCCAGTAATGAAACTGGTAAAGGTGGAAGGATGGGCATGAGGCTGGTGACTCCAAGCTGTAAAGATAAAACACCACTGCTGCCGAAACTTGAAGGCTCTAGTTCGAAGCCCTATGTTCCACTAAGAACGTAAAGGAAAAAAATAATTAGTAATAATACTTACCTCTAGGTAGACTTTCCCTGACTCGGGAGATTATGTCATCAGGGTCAACTGTACCTTGTGAGGTGAATATACTAATGATTCTACATTCCCTTTTCTTCGACAAAACTAAGAGGTACGACAGAATATGATATAAATGTTTGCTGAAAATTTTACCCTGTGCCTAGATTCAGAAAAACTCGTGAAAAATATCAGTACAAGCCGAAATTTCTTCATCACTAAGGTGCTTTACTGAATGGGCAGTATAGGTTATTTGTAGGTCATTAGTATAAAATATTTTTCTTATTAGTCTTTTCGGGAAACTTATCTCACAATATCATCCATAAATTCTGCGTCTGTCTGTAACTTTTTCCTTTGGTATTATTCTTATTCATCCCTTGCATTTTGAAAGAAACATAGGTCTTCAGGGGCCCGTCTCAGTCCAACCCTGTACTCTGATTTCAGCTAGCTCCACAACTGTCAAGAAGCTTTCATTTTCTTTTCATATGATCTACTACATACGCCCCTTAGACGCCCAGCATGTTGCTGATCGTCGGCGTTCCATTCGGAAGCTTAGTGTGTGATATCATACAACGATTTTCCCAGCGTACATCTAATCTACCTACATTTCCTTTTGTATATTTGTTGTGCATTAAGTTTTTTAAATTTTTATCACAGACTGATGTAAGTTAGAGAACCAATGAAAACCAGGGTGTACTGGACAGCTGTTTCGTTTTAGTCCAGGACTCTTCAGCAATACACGCCACCACCAGGAAATGAATAAGCGGACTCGCTGACCATTCAGTCTTTGGGGCCTGATCTGATGGCCTAAGAATTCCAGCTTCTACCAATTCGTGATTTTTAGCATGACCACTGGTAATCGTGACGAGTGGGGTATATCATTTAGGTTGAGAGGACAAAAAGCCGTCGATGGTATCAAATAGTAGTCGCGGTAAAAATCGCGGATTGGTAGAATTAGGAATTCACGGGCCATTGAATCGGATCCTAGAGGCTTAATGCTCTACGAGCTTGCCTTGCAACTGGAAGTTCCTGGGTTCGATCCCCTGTGGCAAGTACTGCTGAAGAATCTTGAATTAGGAAGAAACAGCTATCCAGTAATCCCTGGTTTTGAATGGTTCTCTCCCTGACATGAAATCCCTACACCATGACTCTTGAAAGTAGGTTTTTTTGTCGGCTACCTGCCAGTGTTCCTTGTTGCTTATACTTTCTGACCGGTCATCTTATCTTTGGTATAGAACGAAGGCAGTGTTTGATGAAAGTTCACAGGTTGTTGCGAATGACACTGCTGAAGCTCCAAATTTTTCTATTTTTCGGTATGTTAGTACAATCTGAAATTCCTAATTAACTTGCTTACTACTATCTTTCACAAACTGCACTAGGTATCTATTGTCAATGATATTTTGTTAACTTGCTAAATCCAATTTCTATATTAAAAATTTAATAAACTGTATATCTTCGTAGCGTATGCAATTATAAGTGAAAACCAGAGTATGCTAAATAGCTGCGAATTGTCAATAGTTATAATTTATGGATCATTGCATCCCTTGCCAATAGGTAAATGGTCGACAACCTTGTCTTGTAACTTAAAAGTCTTGGGTTCTATCCCTGATGAAGACTTCCAAACTAGGACGAAACAACTGTCCAGTACTCTGTGGTTTTCAGAGATATTATTATCTCGTGATCTAGCTTGAAGTCAACCAAATCCCTGAAAAGCCGATCCTTGCAAAATGTTAGCTGAATGTCAATTTTGTTTTAATTTA